GAAATTTAACAAGTTTTTTTCCGAAACACGACTTTATTCTCGATATTTAATGAGTTTATTCTTAAGATTGTATTCCGACATTTTTCTTGAAATTTAACGAGTTTTTTCTCGAAACACAACGTCTTTATTCTCGATATTTAATGATTTTATTCTCAAGATTGTATTACGACATTTTTCTTGTAATTTAACGAGTTTTTTCTCAAAACACAACGACTTTATTCTCGATATTTAATGAGTTTATTCTCAAGATTGTATTACGACATTTTTCTCGAAATTTAACGAGTTTTTTCTCGAAACACGACGACTTTATTCTCGATATTTAATGAGTTTATTCTCAAGATTGTATTACGTCATTTTTCTCGAAATTTAACGAGTTTTTTCTCGAAACACAACGACTTTATTCTCGATGTTTAATGAGCTTATTCTCAAGATTGTATTACGACATTTTTCTTGAAATTTAACAAGTTTTTTTCCGAAACACGACTTTATTCTCGATATTTAATGAGTTTATTCTCAAGATTGTATTACGTCATTTTTCTTGAAATTTAACAAGTTTTTTTCCGAAACACGACTTTATGCTCGATATTTAATGAGTTTATTCTCAAGATTGTATTACGACATTTTTTCTTGAAATTTAGCGAGTTTTTTCTCGAAACACGACGACTTTATTCTCGATATTTAATGAGTTTATTCTCAAGATTGTATTACGACATTTTTCTTGAAATTTAGCGAGTTTTTTCTCGAAACACAATGACTTTATTCTCGATATATATTGAGTTTATTCTCAAGATTGTATTACGACTTTTTTCCTCAAAATTTAACGAGTTCATCTCAATTGCAATGACTTTAATTTTGAGATGGTTTTATTTTGTTATTATTGTTTGGCCCTAATCCTCTTCCGTACATACTGATATACAGCAGCTTGTAAAAGTCAACATAGTATTTTAGGTAGCTGGCAACCACTTAAAGGAATAGTTAACTTAAAAATTAAAATTCTGTCATTTTTAAGTGAACTATTCCTTTAAGGCTCACTGCAAAATGAGACACAGGAATCATGACACATTTCACAGAGACAAAATCAAACAATCAAATGTGTTTATTAGAATGATAAAATCTCCATGTTGATTGGCATTTGAAAATAAGTGTGTGCTCCAGTACTGAGTCGTGTGTGTTCATGTGTGAAACTGGATGTATACGTGTGTACTTCTATACAGGTGAGGTTATTTAAAAACCAACCGACGAACAAAACAATTATCACTGTATACCGCCCCTCGACTTCTATACACAGGGACATTACATCATCGCCAGCGGAGGGGTAAAACTCAGGATTCGAGCTATGTACAGAGCAGCTGAGTCGAATAAACAACTCAACGTAACACTGATTCAGTCTTACACACAGCCCTTCACGTTGAAGGCAAATCTGCGTCGCCATATACACTGTCTTACAAAATGCTGTTCCTTCAGTCGTCATCAAGAATCCTTCCTCATCCTTTGCGAAGTCTGTGAGAACCGATAAATGTGATCATTTGTGGGACACAAAAGTGAATTAAACATAGTGGAAAAAGTCAAACATACATTATTGGCCTTGATTATTGTACAATATTGTGCTTGTTGCAGCATGATCAAAGATTATGAAAGGAAGGCGTATGGGGGGAAATCGTTTGAATACATTCACAGCACATTCAACACTTTCCTTGACAATAATAGACCAGAATTAACACAATTGGCACTGCGTGAAAAAGTCAATGTCACTCAATATCACTAAGAGCAATGAAGGCATACAAACACCAGAAAGCATCCGAACAAAAAGAAAAATATTGTGAGGGACAAAGAGTCATGGGAATTGAAAAACATTATAATTTACACTGAGGGACTTCTTGCTACAAAGGAAATAAGCTTTAGGCACTAAATTTGATGTGTGGACACTTAATTGAAGGCAGTTTGTGTGTGAAAAAAAGGATAATTAGAAATTATACTGGGAAATTGACTTTTTATTTTCTAAAGAAAATATGTGATAGCTATGTGGTTTCATGTTGAAACTAAACTAAACTTTAAGCACTCAGAAAAGGAAAAGCACACCTCAATAAGCTGCACATTTTGAGGTATCAATTAATTTAGTAGCACGAACGGCGTGCGACAAGTCACACTCTGAATAAACACTAGATTTGGCATCTTTGTAGCTTATTAGCAAACTTAGCGATTTCATTTTCTGTTGGCAAACACTTTTGATGTGGCACAATTTCTCTGAAGATTGAGAAGTTAGTTGAAAAGTTAGCTGAAAGTATATGATATCTTCTTTCTTTCTCCACATGTGGTTTTCACATTAGAATATTAAGCGGCATTTGCTACTTCCTGCATTTGATTACTTGCTTTTGTGTCCTTGACCTACAGGTAAGCGGCTATATCCTTGCATTTCCTGCCTACCGGGATATATTTCCTGTGTTCTGGATCCTATTTCCTGCCGGGTGTATCTTTAGCGCTGAAGAGAGGAGACAGAAATACATACACACGGTAATTTAAACACATAAACACACACAGAGAGACAGTGCAATCAACCATGACTCTCCTTTCAGCTGGATTTATGAGCTAATCAATGTTCTACCGACCGTAGCACACAACTGCAGGAGTGTGTTTTCTGAGAGCATCAGCAAAGGCGTATGGTTTCTAGGATGCTTAAGTGATGCGTGTAGCACGTGCTTTTAATAAGAGACATCTTACAGGTGCATGAGCACCATTATTAAATGCATTCCAGTGAACTCAAGTTTGTGCGGCAACTCATCTAATCAGACATCTGCTTTCAATATCTCGCAGACTGATGCTATTAGACATTTAATAACAAAGCTAGCCTATGTGGAGACGGACATTTGGGTGCGTGGGTCATGCAGAAAGATGAAGTTGGTGAGAAACAGGCTCTTTTCCAAACCCTAGTGAGCATCCTACTGCCTAAGCAAAATGACTGTTTGGACAGAAACTCTTGGACAGAAACTCCATTAATTGTGCCATTAATAAATCCCAATGCATAACTGATAAAATGTATTCCCTACATGCAATGTAAGTTGCTTCGGATAAAAGCATGCATCTGTCTTATCCACAAGTTTCCGAGGGGCGCTCCTGTAAAAAACAAAGTGGGTGAAACTTCCGGTAAGGTGGCGGAAGTAGCATTCCAATGGTTAGTTAGCGAAGAGGCTAGCTGTTTTTCGGAGAATTATTTTACTATTTAAAGACGCAAATCTTTATGAGAGATGTCGTTACGGAGCTCAGGGACAACATGTGCTGTTCGCGGTTGTATGTATAACCGGACTAAACTAATTCAGTGGTTTAAACGTGATTGTTTTGAACATAAGCCGAAAACGAAATCAGAGTGATCCTGCCAACGACTATAGTTTCCATCACCTCCCAAAAGACGACGAATCTTCCCGTGTACATTTGTTTAAATTCTTAATATTCTATAAACACTATCAGCATGTGTTTGGCTGTTCGCTACTGATGTTACACCTAAACTCAGGATCAAAGCCTGTGTTGACAGCACATTCATTTATAATTTTGAATAAACTCCAAAGCACAATGACTAAGTGTGTACTTTTTATTTTAATTGTTTGTCAGCTCACACAACTGTCTGTCACCATGCCTTGATGAGTATTGATTATTAATAATGGTATTATAATACTCCCAACCAACAACTGCGGAGGGTAAAGGTACTGTTATTTCACCCTTTTTAATTTCGTTGAGGTTGTCTTCCCACATCGTTATCTAGTTTGGATCGCTATAACTTGAATGACTGTCAACTGTTGAATGAACGAGTGTGAAGTATGTCAAGTCGCGCTTTGTTTACTTCCAACCAGAAGACACGCCCACTTTTGACGCAAGGCCTCATGGGGCGTAGGAAACTTGTGGATAAAGTCTGAATTTATTCTTCTGGCTCAAACAGCAGAACATGGAGCCAGCTATATCAAGGTCATGGGTTTGATTCCCACAGAATGCTTGAACTGATAAATGTATGCAATATAAAGCCCTATTCGGACGGGATTAGTTTCACAAGGGTAGATGGAGTAATGTAATTTACTGCATCGCTGTAGTGATGTGCGTATTACGTTGCTTCCTGATATAACAGTTTGGTCCAGTCAAACGATTCATTAATTAACTGATTGGATTCTGTTGGTAATAGGCACTTACCTAAAGCAAGAAGTTTCTCTAACAAGTGCTTTTACCTTGTTTGATCCGAGCGGTATGTGGAAAACACTTGAGGTTTGCCACAGACTTGCCCCACCGCCTAAAATGAACTGTTCTTCAAGAGCCTCCATACTTGAAAAACCTAATATCAAACTAGAAATGAAAGAATATTTATGCTCATATTTATAGCTGGTTAATTCACACGGGATTTGCCTTACCTGAGGTAATTTTTAGGACCATTTTACAGGAGGTAAAAGGTGCAGTAATCTTTACTAACATTGTCCGAAAATATAACTGAGATGGCACATTTGGACAGGACTAAAATCACTGAGAAGCTCTGGAAATAATGTAAAACGAATCCCTTCTGAATAAGGCTTGAGTTGCTTCAAGTCTTCGAATTTGGCAAGGCAAAATAGTTTTTTAGACTCAACCTTCAATGCTGTCTAGGTAGGCAACTCTAGGGTTTGGTACAGAGCCAGTGAGTCTTTCGGTGTAGATTTGATTATGCTACTCTTTTAGTATTCTCACATAGGGATACACAGGGATTTCACTCTGACAGTTCCCAGGTTCATGACTGAAAACACGCAATCAATTACCCGTGTTGATGATCTAGAACTTTTGAAAGGACTTCCATGGCTAAAAAACAAAACAAATAAATACAAAAAGGAAGGGAAATATATTATGATGGATGTGATAAACAAAATGACTGGTTATTTCACAGACACACCCAATATCATAACTGGCTTCAAATCACATGACATTCATTGACCGTTCAGTTCACGTAATGTGATTCCTCTTCTCTAGCATTTTCGCTTGCTCTCCTTTAAACGGCGAAACAGCAAGAGTCTTCAGGACAGAGTCTCTCTTTCTCCGTCTCTAATCGCGTCCTTCTAGAAAACAGCGGGTGTGTTTACCTCAGTTCTGTGTTCCATGTTACGTGTTACATATTGTGTAAAAAATCCACTGTACAAAAAGGAAGAAACCGAACAAAAAGACAAAAAACTTGGACTCCAGCGTGTTCGTAAATTCTCAGAGAGTCCTCTGATTAAACTCACAGAGCTACACAGAAATTCATGTTGTTGAGGCCACGAAACTCACCCGACCAAAGCTTTCTCTCTTTCCGTCTCTCTCTCGTGTGAAGTCTGAACTCAGGGCCGAGGTAATACTGAGGTAAATGCCTCAGCTCACTCAAGTTTCCAAGCATACAAAAGAAAAATCTTTTCTATCCATACATCCATACATTTTGGTCAAAGTGATGCATCAGAGCAAATGGCGTACCGCAAATCTCGCAAAGCGAACGAGGCCCCGCCCACAAGAAATGATGTCTCACACAAGCGTTTGTAATGGAAAAAGTATCGTAGATGGAGACTGATAATTTGGGGCAATGTGGCCCTCTATATAATCTGCTTCTCCTTACTTTCCCATTTAATAATAATAAAAAAAAAATTTCAAGATCATTTCGGGAGCATTTGGACTCCGCCTCAAATGACCTGGTCTTGACTAGTCATAAATATACGGTCTTGGGCTCGGACTTGAGTCTGAATCTGCTCTTGTCCAGACTCAAGTACTACAACACTGCTATTTACGTTTTTTTATAAAGTGTAAATTTGATGGGCTACAACAAGTTATATTTTTTTTAATAAATCAGTAATTCCGAAGCGAAAGTTCTGTTCCTTCTGACCAGTTGATCTGTCCAAATCTGTAAATAAGATGTCCTCCTCAGTTTGGTATTGACCAGAATCATACGAGATTGACCACTGTTTACCGAGTCATTACTCATTGGGTTCTTGGTTGTTTCTGTATTGAACAATTGTCCCAATTCCCAAATGAAATGCTGCCGTCATATCAAACTTACAAATTTGCTGAAAGGGTAACCTGCTAAAGAGAGTTTAGGTGTGAACATATTCAGAGATAGATAGTCTTCAAGATGGCTAAGGTTCTTTCCTCCATCGGATAAAGGGGCAATAAGGTTTGCTAAGTCACACTCGTAGTCAGTCAGCAAGAATGAGAGCTACTGTACTGGGAAAAGCAAGTCTCAGCCTACATGTGTGTAATTGTGAGAGAGAAGAAGAGAAAGAGGTCTATCCAGTTGAAATGGCCTCTCTTCTTGTAGTCAGTGAGGTCCGGTTTGGCTCGTCCTCATGCAAGCCGTTCCAGACAAATGAGGAAAAGGATGACGGGCAGGTGAGAAAAGACATAAAGAAAGACAGAGAGAGAGAGTAACAGTGAGCTACTGTGGTTGGCCAGGTTGCGCTCTGCAGTCCACGGGAGGTTTCAGCCGCTTACGTTTCTACAATTCCCTGCTACCTTGCTTCTCGTCATTCACTGGCCCGTCGTTGTCCGATCGCTTCCTCCCTTCCCGAGCAGGTGACTGAAGTCCGCCAGGTCGATGAGCCCCCGGGACCCATGAAGCACGGTGCGCGTCAATCCCGCGGGATGCTGCGAGGACGTGGTGTAGTGGTGGCCTGTTGGAGGTATGCCGTGACTGCTGAAGATGTAGCCTTCGTGGGTCCAGCGAAGGGGCTCTCCGCTGTACTCTATCTGGGTGCTGGGGGCCGACACCACTCTCCGCCGGTCGGGGGAGTCTTGGGGAGTCATGGGGTAGTTGTATTCGCCTGCTGACTTGCGAAGAAGAGTGCCTGGGCGTATTCCCTGATCCCGATACTTGGAGAGGGAGACGTAGCGTTGGCGGTCGATACCGGTTTCGATGGCTTCCTCGTGGCGTCGGCCGTTTCCTTGCAGGAGTTTAGAGCTGAGAAACAAGGTGGATGGTGGAGGTGGGCACTGGGTACCAACTGAGCTCAAGAAGGTCTGACTTTGGTCCCAGCTGGATCCAGAATCAGACAGGCGTAGCCCACGTTTCTGCTGCAGAGGAGTCTGCTCGGGTGTGGGAAGTAGACCTGGATCCAAGTCGCCCGCTTTGACCCAACCATTGGGCATGACGAAGAGCGTCTCACCTTGTGAGCGCGGCCGGTCTGCGCCGCTGTGCCGGGATACGCTCATCACGGAGCCGCTCCTGCTTTGTCCCATCATGCAACGCTCTTTCTCACTCTTCCGCTGACTACTGGACGACGGAGTGTTGCTATGCGAACGGTGACGGTGTTTCTGGCCCATAATCCAGCACACTGCCAGACCCGAGAGTGCCGCCCCGGTGGAGAATGCAGAGACTGCAGCAACGACCAGCAGGTTCAAAGTAACAAGACTTTCAGGCTCATCCATAAAACTCTCACGTAACAGACCTGCGTGAAAGACAGAAAAACGCATTACAATTCCAACATAGTAACTTGCAATTTATTTGCACAAGTTGTATGCGTTTTAGCGACTTGAAGGGCAAAAATCAGCTTTAGGACTGCTAAAAACTATTGATATGATTAAGCTCAGGAGTAGGGATGGCGAAAACTAAAAATTTTCTGGACCGACCACCGAGCCTCATTAGCTGGTTAAAACCGGTTAACCGATTGGTTTAAAATATGCTACGTTATTTGAAATAACAGCCATTTTGAGCCGCGCCTGCGATTTCACAACTCTGCCTCCCACTCAAACACACACCCCAGCGCTGCCCTTCCTCTCATGTTACTTTTTTAAAATCCCCATACAGTGCGAAACCAAGCGTGCCGCACAAGCCCTCAAAAGTTAAGCCAAAACGTCTCGATCGCCCCCCTGTGACCGGACCTAGTATAGCTCATAACCCCCGCCTCCCCATAATATTCAATGGGATGCGAGACCAAAAATGTAATTTCTGTCATTTACTGTAGTTTCTATCACGTTGATGTAATTTCAAGTGTTCGTTTTTAAAATAAGTTTGTTTTTAGTTAGTTATGTGATGATAAAAACGGTGCTCTGACATCATGATTGACAGGTTCTCTGTGCGAGGTAGTCACTGAAGCACCAGCGGACTTTTTTAATTATGTTGATTATGTGGTTAGTAGTTGTATTTACCGTATTTTAACGAGGTTCTGCAATCAGCAGACATCATTGGAGAAGAACGAAGCAGACAGAGGACACTTAATGAAAGTGCGGGGCGTGCGCTTGCGTTTGACTCAGCGAGAATGAGGGCGCGGCCTTGATTTCGCGGCTTTACTTCCTGCTCACGACTGGTCCCGAAAACGCAAAGTGCGCAGACTCAGGTCCCAAGATGTCAGCGTCATATCGAGACATTGGCGGCTTCAGTTCTCTCTGATGGAAAAGAGCGGAGGAGCGTCGTCCATCTTTTTTTACAGTCTATGTGCGAAACATGAGTCCCGCAAACACGGCGCCAAGGAGCTTGTATGTAATCGGAGGACAAATGGCTCCTTTTTAGTTTCGAAATGGTTTGGATACAAGGTGATCGCGTTGAAAATAAAGGCGTTAGTCTAGCGTTAGAAGCTCATTTGAGACATTGCCGTGGCTCATTTAAGAAAATGACAGCTCCGAAGAGACGCCGCTTTAGTTTGAGGTAGCGGTAACGTTAGTGCTAACAATAATAAAGAAAGATAATGATCATCATCACCTTATCTGTTACCACTGAAATGTAGATGTAATGCATTTCCAAATCTAAGCCCAACAACTTAAATCTGTGTCATTCTTTTAAAGGGTTAGTTCACCCAAAAATGAAAATTCTGTCAGTATTTACTCACCCTCATGTTGTTCCAACCCCGTAAGACCTTCGTTTATCTTCGGAACACAAATTAAGATATTTAAGATATTAAGATCACTCCATAGGCTTCTTGAGGGAATGACTCTTGCTGGCATCGAAAAGTCATTAAAGACATCGTTAAAATAGTCCAAGTGACTACAGGGGCTCAATCTTAAGTTTATCAAACGACGAGAACACTTTTGTGCGCAAAAAAACAACAAAAATAACGACTTTATTTCAACTATTCGTTTATTTCTCCCTCTGCTCGAGTCAGGTTACTAGTTTAATAGCGTAAGCTTCTGTTATTGTACGTCACACGCATCACACACACATGACCAGCGTCGGCCAATAGTGAGCCTACGTGTGACGTAGCTCTACGCTATCACACTACGTTAACTGACTTACAGGCTCATGGAGAAGGAAGTGAATAGTTGAAATAAAGTCGTTATTTTTGTTGTTTTTTTGCGCACAAAAGTGTTCTCGTCGTTTGATAAACTTAAGATTGAGCCCCTGTAGTCACTTGGACTATTTTAACGATGTCTTTAATGACTTTTCGAGGACAGCAAGAGCCAGTCCCTCAAGAAGCCTATGGACTAGTATGCAGGAGCGATCTTAATATCTTAAATGTCTTAATTTGTGTTCCGAAGATGAACGAAGGTCTTACGGGGTTGGAACAACATGAGGGTGAGTAAATACTGACAGAATTTTCATTTTTGGGTGAACTAACCCTTTAAGTGAAATGGTCACTTTGTACGCTTCATCCTGTCGTCTGCCCTGGCTCTAACCTCGAGTGTTTTAGCCTGAAGCCTTTACTTTTCGCAAATCTTGAGAGTGCGCGAACCCAAATGATGTGACCTTGCGACAACTTTGATCTTTTAACGTTGATACGGTCAAACGGTCATCGGTTAACATCCCTACTCAGGAGGAAAAATTGTCACTTGAATGGCTTACAAAAACATCAAAGAACCTCCTCTTGACTTATGAAGCTGTACGCTATTGATCTATTGAGCGTCTGTACATTACAGCCCCAACAATCGATCAAAAAACAAGAGACTGTTGCCTACAGTCTCTCCTAATTCGGTAGATTAGATATAGTGCGTGTTTTAGTAGACACAGACAGGGTCGCTCTGTACACGATATGACCTTATAAACCTTACAGTTAAAGGTCCGAGCAGTGATAAGTAAGCTGTGCACTTCAGCTTTATTCTGAAAGCGTGAGTAGATGTAAGAAATATGATAACAAGATCGGCAAATTCAAAGAACACAGCGATTTTTAGAGTTGATGACTCATGCTTTATATAGCCTACTTTTCTAATCGCGCCTCTTTCAATTGGCGTTTGCAGAGCACTGGCCTTTCTCTTCTCTTTTAACAGCATTTCTTGTACTCTTTCTTCTGCTGTTCCCTGTAAGATGTCCTTGGTTATAACCTCTATTTTCTCAGTCTACCTCTCTTCCTCTATTATCTCCTTTCTTGGCTTTCTTCAAGCCGACAATCTCTCTTCTAGCAGTGCCGTTTATATATGTGGGCTGTTAGCTGTCTCAGAAATGAAAAGCTGTCAGACTCTGCGTCTATACCTCAGCATCCAAACTAGTAAATGGCTTGACAGTAATAGGAATTTTAAAAGAAAACTTCAACCAAATAGGAAAATCCTGTAATCATTTACTCGAAAAGATTTTCTTTCTATTGTAAGCCACAAAGGAGGATGGACATGTTTGGAATGACATGAAGGGGAGTACTGTAAATGATCATTTTTGGGTGAACCTTTCATTGTTAGGTGGCTCACTCATTCAATTTATTAACAAATATTGTGTGCAACCCTTCAATACTATGCTACCGCCACCAAAACATGGGATTACCACAAAAAGTATACACAACATACACTCTTTGACAGAGTACATTTCTTCTATGTGTATAAATGGCACTTACACAAAGGCATACAAACACATCGTGCATACATACACAAACTCCAATTTTCTGATCTCTTTTATTTTCTCTCACCCATTACCTTTATGTTTTCTGCCATTAAGAATGTTCTCAGCTGGGAATCTCAGCTCTCACCGCATTTGTTCATTGTAACAGCAGGAGACTCAACAATTGAACCCTCTTCTCAATATCTTTTTCCTTGAACATTCCTTTGAACATTTTTAAAGACTAAAATACTTCTACAAAATTGCTTGTAATCTGTGTGTTCTCAGGAGTGTGGCAATCATTTCAAAGAGAGAGACAGAAATCTCCTGACCAGATCATTTTCTCAAATAATTCTGTCTTCTTTGAATGGATAGTATATTATAATTGGCTTAGTCCAAGGGTGTCAAACTTGTATTTAGGTCAAGGGCTGGATTAGACCTTGTATTTTCTAACTTTGTATTTATATCTTGATGTTAAATGCAGTTCAATTGAACTGAAAGAATCCTGAAAAAAATCTATCATGGTTTCCAAAATAATATTAAGCAGCATAACGGTTTTCAACATTGATAATAAGAAGAAATGTTTCTTGAACAGCAATTATTTCTAAAGGATCATGTGACACTGAAAGACTGGAGTAATGATACTAAAAAAAATCAGCTTCGCATATTTATAATAAATTCAAGTAGAAAATCATAAGATACTTCTTTCAAAAACATTTAAAAAAAATCTCCAAACCTTAACCCTCTAGGCGCCACGGTCGAGTTTACTGGACAAGATGCGGCACTGAATAAAATGGCTGATTTTGTCAAATTGGGTGTCAAATATCGTTCGACATCCTCTCCACTGGATGGCAGACATGTCCTACTTCATCACCGACTCAAAAAACGTCATGTTTCCATACAAAATGTTCGAGTTACAGCGTATTAAATCAATGTGATCAAAAGCGGAGCTAGTGTGAGAGTGAGCCATTTTATTGTTGTTCAAATTGATTTACAGTTTGTTTACTACTTACTATGTACTGAGCATTCAGTATTGTGCAATATAGCATACAGAAGGTGATGGATATTTTGTGGGGAAAGAAGTGCTGCATTTTATCATTTAAACGTGACTTTTCATGAAAATTCTATAATCCAAGATTGCCGCCACCGTATGACTGTCATGATATGCAAATTAGATGGGAAAATGTAATCCCTACATAAACTTTGGATCATCCTTAATATTTCTCAAATTTACATAAAGTCTCTATCTTTTATCACTTTTAAGATATAGCCTTTTAAAATAAAGATGTCAAAATCGAATGTTTTAAGGATAAAAACCTTAAAAAAAGTTGAATACCGTATATACACTAAATTAGCATGTTTCAGCAATATTGACAAAAAGAGAAAACAACTCGCTGCTCATGGTTGGATAAACTATATGGCTTCTGTCAAACTCCAGCATGCAGCATCAAAAAGAGTGATTTCAAACACACTCTGAACAAACTCAGTTCTTTATCTCTGTTCTGATCTGTTTTGGCATTCAGTGTCTCCCTCATCTCAGAATGTTTCAAATATGACTGAACTTCTATGCGATGGATGGAGAGAGCGCGGACAGAAGAAGACAGCCGTTTGATGTAGATGAGAGGATGGCTGACCGGCAGACTGGAGCGCTTTCAACAGGAGTGCCGAGTTTAATGAGCCAAATCATTTCCCACAATTTGCAGACGCGTCTATGGG